GACAGTAGGCTACAGAGACAGACAGTAGGCTACAGAGACAGACAGTAGACTACAGAGACAGACAGTAGGCTACAGAGACAGACAGTAGGCTACAGAGACAGACAGTAGGCTACAGAGACAGACAGACAGTAGGCTACAGAGACAGACAGACAGTAGGCTACAGAGACAGACAGTAGACTACAGAGACAGACAGTAGGCTACAGAGACAGACAGTAGACTACAGAGACAGACAGTAGGCTACAGAGACAGACAGTAGGCTACAGAGACAGACAGTAGGCTACAGAGACAGACAGTAGGCTACAGAGACAGACCGTAGACTACAGAGACAGACAGTAGGCTACAGAGACAGACAGTAGGCTACAGAGACAGACAGTAGACTACAGAGACAGACAGTAGGCTACAGAGACAGACAGTAGGCTACAGAGACAGACAGTAGACTACAGAGACAGACAGTAGGCTACAGAGACAGACAGTAGGCTACAGAGACAGACAGTAGACTACAGAGACAGACAGTAGGCTACAGAGACAGACAGTAGACTACAGAGACAGACAGTAGGCTACAGAGACAGACAGTGATGTGGTGCTCAGTGGTGAGGCTGAGGCAGGCTGCAATGCATGCAGGAGGAAGCAGAGGAGACAGAGCGAGAGGTTAGTGCAGTGGTTCCCAAACTTGGGGCCAGGCCACATGCGGGGTCCCCTGGGAGAATCTGTACTAATCTCATCAAACAAGTTAGGAACAAAATAAAAATAAAGATACGTTTCAATATGAACATCTCCACATGACCTATCTTCCCTATAGGCCTACATTAAAATACAACCACTGTATGTTTCAATATGAAAATCTCCACATGACCTATCTTCCCTATAGGCTTACATTAAAATACAACCACTGTTTGTTTCAATATGAACATCTCCACATGACCTATCTTCCCTATAGGCTTACATTAAAATACAACCACTGTATGTTTCAATATGAACATCTCCACAGGACCTATCTTCCCTATAGGTCTACATTAAAATACACCCACTGTATGTTTCAATATGAACATCTCCACATGACCTATCTTCCCTACAGGTCTACATTAAAATACAACCACTGTATGTTTCAATGTGAACATCTCCACATGACCTATCTTCCCTACAGGTCTACATTAAAATACAACCACTGTATGTTTCAATGTGAACATCTCCACATGACCTATCTTCCCTATTGGTCTACATTAAAATACAACCACTGTATGTTTCAATGTGAACATCTCCACATTACCTATCTTCCCTATAGGTCTACATTAAAATACAACCACTGTATGTTTCAATATGAACATCTCCACAGGACCTATCTTCCCTACAGGTCTACATTAAAATACAACCACTGTATGTTTCAATGTGAACATCTCCACATGAACTATCTTCCCTACAGGTCTACATTAAAATACAACCACTGTATGTTTCAATATGAACATCTCCACATGACCTATCTTCCCTACAGGCCCACATTAAAATACAACCACTGTATGTTTCAATATGAACATCTCCACAGGACCTATCTTCCCTACAGGTCTACATTAAAATACAACCACTGTATGTTTCAATATGAACATCTCCACAGGACCTATCTTCCCTACAGGTCTACATTAAAATACAACCACTGTATGTTTCAATATGAACATCTCCACAGGACCTATCTTCCCTATAGGTCTACATTAAAATACAACCACTGTATGTTTCAATATGAACATCTCCACAGGACCTATCTTCCCTATAGGTCTACATTAAAATACAACCACTGTATGTTTCAATATGAACATCTCCACAGGACCTATCTTCCCTATAGGTCTACATTAAAATACAACCACTGTATGTTTCAATATGAACATCTCCACAGGACCTATCTTCCCTATAGGCTTACATTAAAATACAACCACTGTATGTTTCAATATGAACATCTCCACAGGACCTATCTTCCCTACAGGCCCACATTAAAATACAACCACTGTATGTTTCAATATGAACATCTCCACAGGACCTATCTTCCCTACAGGCCCACATTAAAATACAACCACTGTATCTGGGACCTTTACCAAATCAGATAATAATAACCCAGACTAGATTAACTGGGCAACTGTCACACACTAGTTTTAATATCACTGAATGACAAACGAAATCTAAAAGTTATTTAAAAAGATGACAGAGAACAAAATAAAGTTGTTTCAAGAGATGACAGAGAACAAAATAAAGTGAAGTTGTTTCAAGACAGAACAAACAATAGGTTTTTTCAGAGTTCCACAGTGGTTTGCACACCAAGCTTCATTGACATCTAACACGGTAGACAAAAGCCCACGTCTTTAAAATGTACACGCCGTCTGTGTAGTGGTGTTGCTGTAAATACGTAGTATTTTTATATTTGAAGAAGCAACACCATGGTTTCTACTTCACGTCCTGCTCCAGCAACGTCTAGAAAAGCTGACCCAAATCAGGGTCAAGAGAGCACGATGTCCTGTTTTGGTCAATATCACATTCATGTCTTTAGGTTTTTCAAACTAAAGTATAAATACCACTGATTACTAGCTGTGTTGACCAGTGAAAGGAAGTGGATACCACAGATTGATGAGGAAATTGTTTTATTTAATCCATTTTAGAATAAGGCTGTAACGTAACAAAATGTGGAAAAAGTCAAGGGGTCTGAATACTTTCCGAAGGCACTATAGCTAATAGGCTGTGTGTTTGTAGATGGACTGAGGTGAATGAACCTACAGCAGCCAAGGTGATAATGGCTGGTGGCATTTTGGCTGGTTTTGCTGTTCTCCAAATATAATAATAATAATATAATATGCCATTTAGCAGACGCTTTTATCCAAATGTCACGCCCTGGCTCTGGGGACACTTGTATGTTGAGCCAGGGTGTGAGTTTCATTTGTTTGTCTAGTAGTTGTAGTTCTATGTTGGCCAGAGTGGTTCCCAATCAGAGGCAACAAGTGTCAGCTGTTGCTGGTTGTCTCTGATTGGGAACCATATTTAGACAAGCTGTTTTCCCACAGTGGTTGTGGGATCTTGTTCCAGTGTGGTTTGTGTTTAGACCGTGGACGTCACGTTATCGTTTTGTTGTTTTGTTCGGTTGTTCACTAATAAAGAGTATGTTTACCTTCAACGCTGTGCCTTGGTCCTCCTCTCTTCCCGACGATCGTGACAGAAGATCCCACCAGAACTGGACCAAGCAGCGGGTCCAGGAGCCATCGCCAGGGAAATCTCTGGCGGATATCCAGCGCCTCCTCGACTGGGTCAAGCCGGGTGAGCAAGAGAAGGGCTTGACATGGAAGCAGAAGGGCGAAAGGCTGGCAAAAAGTATGGAGACCTGGTCCACGGGTAGGAGAGAAGCCCAGACATTTTTTAGGGGGGGGCTAACGCCGTGGACGACGGGGCAGCAGGAGACCGCGATAGAGCGGCCCAGCGGGTTGGCAGAGGAGGCCGCCAGGTTACGGGGGCCACTGGTCAAAGAAGGGAAGGAAGGTGTAGAGGCACGGCGAGAGGTACTGGGGTGTGTTACCAGTCCGGTCCGGCCCGTTCCAGATCCCTGCGTAGGGCCAGTGGTGTGTGTCCCCAGTATGGTCCGGTCTGTTCCTGCTCCCCGCACCAAGTCAATGGTGCGCGTCGCCAGTCCGGCCCGTCCTGTTCCTGCTCCCCGCACCAAGCCAATGGTGCACATCGCCAGCTCGGCCCGGCCTGTTCCTGCTCCCCGCACCAAGCCAATGGTGCGCGTCGCCAGCCCGGTCCGGCCCGCTCCTGCTCCCCGCACCAAGCCTATGGTGCGCGTCGCCAGCCCGGCCCGGCCTGTTCCTGCTCCCCGCACCAGGCCAATGGTGCGCGTCGCCAGCCCGGTCCGGCCCGGCCCGCTCCTGCTCCCCGCACTTAGCCAATGGTGCGCATCGCCAGCCCGGTCCGGCCCGTTCCTGCTCCCCGCACCAAGCCAATGGTGCGCGTCGCCAGCCCGGTCCGGCCCGCTCCTGCTCCCCGCACCAAGCCAGTGGTGTGCGTCGTCAGTCCGGCACGGCCCGTGCCTGTTCCCCACACCAAGCCAGTGGTGTGCATCGCCAGCCCGGTCCGGCCCGCTCCTGCTCCCCGCACCAAGCCTATGGTGCGCGTCGTCAGTCCGGCACGGCCCGTGCCTGTTCCACCGGTGCCTGGTCCGGCACCGGTCAGCTGCTTCACGCCGGAGCTAGAGCAATCCGCTCCACCAGTGTGCAGTCCAGCTCCGGTCAGCGGGGCCAGACCGGACCAGGGGTACTTTGGGGGGTTGGAGAGGGAGTGGGGATCAGGCCCGGAGCCGGATCCGCCGCCAAGGCGGAGTGCCCACCCGGTCCCTCCCCTGTGGTATTTAGTTGGCGCGGTCGGAGTCCGCGCCTTTAGGGGGGGGTACTGTCACGCCCTGGCTCTGGGGACACTTGTATGTTGAGCCAGGGTGTGAGTTTCATTTGTTTGTCTAGTAGTTGTAGTTCTATGTTGGCCAGAGTGGTTCCCAATCAGAGGCAACAAGTGTCAGCTGTTGCTGGTTGTCTCTGATTGGGAACCATATTTAGACAAGCTGTTTTCCCACAGTGGTTGTGGGATCTTGTTCCAGTGTGGTTTGTGTTTAGACCGTGGACGTCACGTTATCGTTTTGTTGTTTTGTTCGGTTGTTCACTAATAAAGAGTATGTTTACCTTCAACGCTGCGCCTTGGTCCTCCTCTCTTCCCGACGATCGTGACACCAAAGCGACTTACAGTCATGCGTGCATACATTTTTTTTGTGTATGGGTGGTCCCGGGGATCGAACCCACTACCTTGGCGTTACAAGCGCCGTGCTCTACCAGCTGAGCTACAGAGGACCACAAATAGCATTTTAGGGGTTTTAAATTGTATAGAAATGCAGTTAAAAAAAAATATGTGGTCACCCTAATGTGTGTGTGTGTGTCTGAGAGAGAGCCTGAGTACATTTTCACAGCATAGGATCTCCAGTGGCTCTCATGATCATTCATGTGATCCCCCAGCCAGCCAGCCCCCCAGCCAGCCAGCCCCCCCAGCCAGCCCCCCAGCCAGCCAGCTTCCCAGCCACCCAGCCCCCCAGCCAGCCAGCCCCCCAGCCACCCAGCCCCCAGCCACCCAGCCCCCCAGCCACCCAGCCCCCCAGACAGCCAGCCCCCCACCCAGCCCCCCAGCCACCCAGCCCCCCAGCCAGCCCCCCAGCCAGCCAGCCAGCCACCCAGCCCCCCCAGCCAGCCACCCAGCCAGCCACCCAGCCCCCCAGCCAGCCAGCCAGCCCCCCCAGCCAGCCAGCCAGCCAGCCCAGAGCAGACAGAGCAGAGAGGTTTTACTACAGTGTCAGGTGGTACCAACCTCCATCACCCCGTATTAACCCTGCTTTAGTCTGTTCCACACTCACTGAACTCACTGTTCCCACTACGTCCCAAATGGCACCCTATTCCCTGTATAGAAAATAGGGTACCATTTGAGACGCAAGACTCTGTCTCACCGGCTCTCTCTGTCACCATTATTCCTCTCAGAACAGCAATCTGGGACCTTTACCAAATCAGATAATACTAAACCAGACTAGATTAACTGGGCCACTGTCACACACTCGTTTTAATATCACTGAATGATAAACAAAATCTAAAAGTTGTTTCAAGAGATGACAGAGAATAAAATAAAGTTAAGTTGTTTCAAGACAGAACAAACAATTGGTTTTTTCAGATTTCCACAGTGGTTTGCACACCAAGCTTTATTGACATCTAACACGGTAGACAAAAGCCCACGTCTTTAAAATGTACACGCCGTCTGTGTAGTGGTGTTGCTGTAAATACGTAGTATTTTTATATTTGAAGAAGCAACACCATGGTTTCTACCTCACGTCCTGCTCCAGCAACGTCTAGCAAAGCGGACACAAATCAGGTCAAGAGAGCACGATGTCCTGTTTTTGGTCAATATCACATTCATGTCTTTAGGTTTTTCAAACTAAAGTATAAATACCACTGATTACTAGCTGTGTTGACCAGTGTAAGGAAGTGGATACAACATCAGTCCAAAGATCAAACAGACAATTGGGATACATTTAGCTAGTAGTATTATTCATGATTACTGCCAAAGTATGACATTGCAGTCTTATTCCATTCATGTTCATGTTCTCGCTTGCTATAAGTACGAGTGGCGCAGTGGTCTAAGAGATCCTGGTTCGAATCCAGGCTCTGTCGTAGCCGGCCGCGACCGGGAGACCCATGGGGCGGCGCACAATTGGCCCAGCTTCGTCCAGGGTAGGGGAGGGAATGGCCGGCAGGGATGTAGCTCAGTTGGTAGAGCATGGCGTTTGCAATGCCAGGGTTGTGGGTTCGATTCCCACGGGGGGTGGCCAGTACGAAAAATGTTAAATAAATAAGGTATGCACTCACTAACTGTGTCGCTGTGGATAAGAGCGTCTGCTAAATTACGTAAATGTAATGTAAATGTAAGTACTCAAGTGACGAACATCAATCATCCTAGCCTGTGTACAAGGCCTCTGTATAGTAGCTGTAAATGTATAGTCCTGTTATAGGGAAACAGGGTTACTGAGTGACTCTGTATGGTAGCTGTAAATGTATAGTCCTGTTATAGGGAAACAGGGTTACTGAGTGACTCTGTATGGTAGCTGTAACTGTAGTCCTGTTATAGGGAAACAGGGTTACTGAGTGACTCTGTATGGTAGCTGTAACTGTAGTCCTGTTATAGGGAAACAGGGTTACTGAGTGACTCTGTATGGTAGCTGTAAATGTAGTCCTGTTATAGGGAAACAGGGTTACTGAGTGCCTCTGTATGGTAGCTGTAAATGTAGTCCTGTTATAGGGAAACAGGGTTACTGAGTGCCTCTGTATGGTAGCTGTAACTGTAGTCCTGTTATAGGGAAACAGGGTTACTGAGTGACTCTGTATGGTAGCTGTAACTGTAGTCCTGTTATAGGGAAACAGGGTTATTGAGTGACTCTGAGATCAGTAGCTGACTGACTGAGGAATGTTAGGAATCTGTCAACACCGTGAGACTCTCAGGAAACCAGAGTCTGCACCTCTCAATAGAACTACTGCTTCATTCTGTAGTTCTATTGAGGAACGTTGCAGTGAAATGTAGATTCATTGTCACATTTTCCCCCTTTTTTTTTTTTTTTACAGAAATTACAAATTTAACCCTGAATTAATCCTATCAGTCTCGACACCCTAGCAAAAAAAAATCGGCTTTTCATGTATCTGGCTTTCATTTATGTGCATGTCCAGCCCACATATTTAGCCTCACAATGAAGTGTTTGTTAAAAAAAGGAGTCCCGGTACTGGGGCCCCTTCGGGATCTGCGTTTGTCTCACAAACCTCAAACAAACCGCTCGAGCTCCTTCCCCGTTAACCACACAGACTAATGGTTGGTATCTACCGATGCAGAAGAAACACGGCGTGTTTAAAAAGGGGTTAGAAGTACTAAATCACGCCGGCGTGACAGTGGGACTCATTGGGTTAACGTCCACTGCTCACTAACTCACACTACACTGGGTTTATCAACACCATCATGGGCCAGTCAGTCATTGATTGAGTGAGGACAGGCCATGTTTTATAAGATTAAAAATATATATATACACTACCGGTCAAAAGTTTTAGAACACCTACTCATTCAGGGGTTTTTCTTTATTTTAACTATTTTTTACATTGTAGAATAATAGTGAAGACAACAAAACTATGAAATAACACATGGAATCATGTAGTAACCAAAAAAGTGTTAAACAAATCAGAATATATTTTACATTTGAGATTCTTCAAATAGCCACCCTTTGCCTTGATGACAGCTTTGCACACTCTTGGCATTCTCTCAACCAGCTTCATTGGAATAAATTTCAATTAACAGGTGTGCCTTCTTAAAAGTTAATTTGTGGAATTTATGCGTTTGAGCCAATCAGTTGTGTTGTGACAAGGTAGAGGGGGTATACAGAAGATAGCCCTATTTGGTAAAAGACCAAGTCCATATTATGGCAAGAACAGCTCAAATAACCAAAGAAGAACTACAGTCCATCATTACTTTAAGACATGAAGGTCAGTTAATATGGAAAATGTCAAGAACTTTGAAAGTTTCTTCAAGTGCAGTCGCAAAAACCATCAAGCGCTATGATGAAACTGGCTCTCATGAGGACCGCCACAGGAATGGAAAACCCAGAGTTACCTCTGCTGCAGAGGATAAGTTCATTAGAATTACCAGCCTCAGAAATTGCAGCCCAAATAAATTCTTCACAGAGTTCAAGTAACAGACACATCTCAACATCAACTGTTCATAGGAGACAGTGTGAATCAGGCCTTCATGGTAGAATTGCTGCAAAGAAACCACTACTAAAGGACACCAATAAGAAGAAGAGACTAGCTTGGGCCAAGAAACACGAGCAATGGACATTAGACCGGTGGAAATGTGTCCTTTGGTCTGGAGTTCAAATTGGAGATTTCTGGTTCCAACCGCCGTGTCTTTGTGAGACGCGGTGTGGGTGAACGGATTATCTCTGCATGTGTATTTCCCACCGTAAAGCATGGAGGAGGGGGTGTTATGGTGTGGGGGTGCTTTGCTGGTGACACTGTCAGTGATTTATTTAGAACACACTTAACCAGAATGGCTACCACAGCATTCTGCAGCAATACGCCATCCCATCTGGTTTGGGCTTAGTGGGACTATCATTTGTTTTTCAACAGGACAATGACCCAACACACCTCCAGGCTGTGTAAGGGCTATTTTACCAAGAAGGGGAGTGATGGAGTGCTGCATCAGATGACCTGGCCTCCACCACCCCCCGACCTCAACCAAATTGAGATGGTTTGGGATGAGTCGGACCGCAGAGTGAAGGAAAAGCAGCCAACAAGTGCTCAGCATATGTGGGAACTCCGTCAAAGACTGTTGGAAAAGCATTCCAGGTGAAGCTGGTTGAGAGAATGCCAAGAGTGTGCAAAGCTGTCATCAAGGCAAAGGGTGGCTATTTGAAGAATCTCACATATAAAATATAACACTTTTTTGGTTACTACATGATTCCATATGTGTTATTTCATAGTTGTGATGTCTTCACTATTATTCTACAATGTAAGAAAATAGCAAAAATAAAGACAAACCCTTGAATGAGTAGGTGTTCTAAAACGTTTGACTGGTAGTGTATATATATTGAACAATAACACAAAATACAATAATGGAGATTAATAGACAAGAGTCCATAAACTGAACGTAGGCAGGCAGACAGACAGACAGACAGACAGACAGACAGGCAGGCAGGCAGGCAGGCAGGCAGGCAGGCAGGCAGGCAGGCAGGCAGACAGGCAGGCAGGCAGACAGGCAGGCAGGCAGGCAGGCAGACAGACAGGCAGGCAGGCAGACAGACAGACAGGCAGGCAGGCAGGCAGGCAGGCGTATTACATGTCAAGACAAAATGTACACAGTAAGAGGCATGGTTGAGTGATAACACAGTCACATATACAAAACTCCCCAACAGACACTGGGGCCACCCTTCCCACTGGTTCTACCTCCCACCTGTATCACCCTCTCAGGAAGTTGTCATAACCACTTCCTGTCTCTCTCTCTGCAGGTGGGCCTTTTTAGTGGGATCTGTCTGATCGTAGGAACCATGATCGGCTCCGGCATCTTCATCTCCCCTAAGGCAGTGCTGCTGGAAACGGGAGCCGTAGGACCATGTCTGTGTGTCTGGGCAGCCTGCGGAGTGCTGGCTACACTGGGTAAGGACACACTCTCTGGCTACACTGGGTAAGGACACACTCTCTGGCTACACTGGGTGAGGACACACACACTCTGGCTACACTGGGTGAGGACACACACACTCTGGCTACACTGGGTGAGGACACACACTCTGGCTACACTGGGGAAAGACACACACACACCAACCCTGTCCTGTGTCATTTCTAACCAGTCACTAAATGACACCATAAACTGAGATAGATTACAGTGAGGGGAAAAAGTATTTGATCCCCTGCTGATTTTGTACGTTTGCCCACTGACAAAAACATGATCAGTCTATAATTTTAATGGTAGGTTTATTTGAACAGTGAGAGACAGAATAACAACAAAAAAATCCAGAAAAACGCATGTCAAAAATGTTATAAATTGATTTGCATTTTAATGAGGGAAATAAGTATTTGACCCCTCTGCAAAACATGACTTAGTACTTGGTGGCAAAACCCTTGTTGGCAATCACAGAGGTCAGTAGTTTCTTGTAGATGGCCACCAGGTTTGCACACATCTCAGGAGGGATTTTGTTCCACTCCTCTTTGCAGATCTTCTCCAAGTCATTAAGGTTTCGAGGATGACGTTTGGCAACTCAAACCTTCAGCTCCCTCCACAGATTTTCTATGAGATTAAGGTCTGGAGACTGGCTAGGCCACTCCAGGACCTTAATGTGCCTCTTCTTGAGCCACTCTTTTGTTGCCTTGGCCGTGTGTTTTGGGTCATTGTCATGCTGGAATACCCATCCACGACCCATTTTCAATGCCCTGGCTGAGGGAAGGAGGTTCTCACCCAAGATTTGACGGTACATGGCCCCGTCCATCGTCCCTTTGATGCGGTGAAGTTGTCCTGTCCCCTTAGCAGAAAAACACCCCCAAAGCATAATGTTTCCACCTCCATGTTTGACAGTGGGGATGGTGTTCTTGGGGTCATAGGCTGCATTCCTCCTCCTCCAAACACGGCGAGTTGAGTTGATGCCAAAGAGCTCCATTTTGGTCTCATCTGACCACAACACTTTCACCCAGTTCTCCTCTGAATCATTCAGATGTTCATTGGCAAACTTCAGACAGGCCTGTATATGTGCTTTCTTGAGCAGGGGGACTTGCGGGCGCTGCAGGATTTCAGTCCTTCACGGCGTAGTGTGTTACCAATTGTTTTCTTGGTGACTATGGTCCCAGCTGCCTTGAGATCATTGACAAGATCCTCCCGCGTAGTTCTGGGCTGATTCCTCACCGTTCTCATGATCATTGCAACTCCACGAGGTGAGATCTTGCATGGAGCCCCAGGCCGAGGGAGATTGACAGTTCTTTTGTGTTTCTTCCATTTGCGAATAATCGCACCAACTGTTGTCACCTTCTCACCAAGCTGCTTGGCGATGGTCTTGTAGCCCATTCCAGCCTTGTGTAGGTCTACAATCTTGTCCCTGACATCCTTGGAGAGCTCTTTGGTCTTGGCCATGGTGGAGAGTTTGGAATCTGATTGATTGATTGCTTCTGTGGACAGGTGTCTTTTATACAGGTAACAAACTGAGATTAGGAGCACTCCCTTTAAGAGTGTGCTCCTAATCTCAGCTCGTTACCTGTATAAAAGACACCCGGGAGCCAGAAATCTTTCTGATTGAGAGGGGGTCAAATACTTATTTCCCTCATTAAAATGCAAATCAATTTATAACATTTTTGACATGCATTTTTCTGGATTCATTTGTTGTTATTCTGTCTCTCACTGTTCAAATAAACCTACCATTAAAATTATAAACTGATCATTTCTTTGTCAGTGGGCAAACATACAAAATCAGCAGGGGATCAAATACTTTTTTCCCCCACTGTACCTGACAAACCCTGTCCTGTGTAATATCTAACCAGTCTCTAAATGACACCATAAACTGAGATAGATTACCTGACCAACCCTGTCCTGGGTAATCTCTAACCAGTCACTAGTGGTGGGGAAGAATGACAGGAATCTCCTAAATCAGGAATGACCAAAGTGCTGAGGCTCCATGTGAGAAGGACTCCATGTGAGAAGGACTCCATGTGAGAAGGACTCCATGTGAGAAGGACTCCATGTGAGAAGGACTCCATGTGAGAGGGTCTGTGTGAGAAAGACTGGAGCTGCATTCCAAATGGCACCCATTGGGATGCCCGTCTGGGTCAGCTGATCTCAGCAGCCAGAAACAACATGAACCCTGCTGACTTATTAAGATCTAGGAGGGAATTCCTTTCCCCCGTCTGGGTCAGCTGATCTCAGCAGCCAGAAACAAAGCTCTGACCAGCTCCTGGTTAACGTCTGTCACTAGTGCAGGGCTGTCATACCAAATTCCCAGAGCGCAGTGTCTGCCAGTTTTCGCTTTTTCCCTGTACTTGATTGATCAATTAAGGTCATTGACTAATTAGGAACCCCCTCACCTGGTTGTCTACATCTTAATTGATTAGTTAGGAACTCACCTGGTTGTCTACATCTTAATTGATTAGTTAGGAACTCACCTGGTTGTCTAGGTCTTAATTGATTAGTTAGGAAATCCCCTCACCTGGATGTCTAGGTATTAATTGATTAGTTAGGAACTACCCTCACCTGATTGTCTAGGTCTTAATTGATTAGTTAGGAACTCCCCTCACCTGGTTGTCTAGGTCTTAATTGATTAGTTAGGAACTCACCTGGTTGTCTAGGTCTTAATTGATTAGTTAGTGACTCACCTGGTTTCTAGGTCTTAATTGATTGTTAGGCATCCCCTCACCTGGTTGTCTATTTCTTAAATTGATTAGTTTTAGGAACTCACCTTGTTTGTCTATGTCTTAATTGATTAGTTAGAATCTTCCCTCTCCCCTCACCGGTTGTCTAGTCGTAATTGATTAGTTAGGAACTCACCTGTTTTTCTAGGTCTTAATTGATTAGTTAGGAACTCACCTGGTTGTCTAGGTCTTAATTGATTAGTTAGGAACTCACCTGGTTGTCTAGGTCTTAATTGATTAGTTAGGAACTCACCTGGTTGTCTAGGTCTTAATTGATTAGTTAGGAACTCACCTGGTTGTCTAGGTCTTTAATTGGACACATTGAAAGGAAAGCAGCAGAAGCAGCAGCAGACACACGGCCATCCAGGCACTGAGTTAGACAGCCCAGGACTACTGTCAGCTAACTCTCTGTCTCTGAGTTAGACACCCCAGGACTACTGTCAGCCAACTCTCTGTCTCTGAGTTAGACACCCCAGGACTACTGTCAGCTAACTCTCTGTCTCTGAGCCTGCCTGTCTGCCTGCAGGGGCGCTGTGCTACGCGGAGCTGGGTACCATGATCGCTAAGTCTGGAGGGGAGTACTCGTACCTGATGGAGGCCTTTGGGTCAGTGGTGGCCTACCTCTACTCCTGGAGCACCATCATGGTCCTAAAGCCCTCCTCCCTCGCCATCATCTCCCTAAGCTTCGCAGAGTACGCCTCCACGCCGTTCTACCCAGGATGCACTCCTCCCATTGTGGTCACCAAGTGCCTGGCTATAGCGTGCATACGTGAGTGTGAATACTTCTTGAATTATGAAAAATCCTAATAGAAAACAATTGGCATGCACTTCCTGAATTGACTGAATTGAAACCCGGGTTATATCTCAATTGTCTTTCCTTGCATCCAATCATATTGGAGGAGAAGATCCAAGACCTTCTTCTTCAATGCCTTTTGAGAAGAGAGCGAGAAGAGAGGATGCAAGGGATCGAGTAAAGATTAATTTAAAAAAGCCCTGACTTGACCCCCACCGTGCTCATCCTGACCTTGTGTTCTTCTCCTCCTCCTCCTCCTCCTCCACCCTCTCCTCCTCCTCCTCTTCCTCCTCCGCCTCTTCCTCCCTCTCCTCCTCCTCCCTCCTCTCCTCCTCCCTCTCCTCCTCCTCCTCCTCTTCCTCCTCCTCCTCTTCCTCCCTCTCCTCTCTCCTCCTCCTCCTCCTCTCCTCCTCCTCATCCTCCAGTTCTGATAGTGTTGGTGAACTGTCTCAGTGTGAAGCTAGCCAGCTTTGTCCAGAACTTCTTCACTGCAGCCAAACTCTTCATCATCCTGGTCATCGTAGTGTCAGGCTTCGTCCTCTTGGCACAAGGTTGGCACTTTACACACTCAGTCTGCATCCCAAATGACCCCCTATTCCCTTTATAGTGCAACCAATATTATTGATATGTTCGTCAAAAGAGAGATCAGGGTCCAGAGTAACGCCGAGGTCCTTCACAGTTTTGTTTTTGAGACGACTGTACAACCATCAAGATGAATTGTCAGATCCAACAGCAGATCTCTTGTTTCTTGGGACCTAGAACTAGCATCTCTGTTTTGTCCTGAGTTTAAAAGTAAAACGTTTACCGCCATCCACTTCCTTATGTCTGAAACACAGGCTTCCAGGGTAGGACATTTTGGGGCTTCACCATGTTTCATTGAATGTCCAGCTGTGTGTCGTCCGCATAGCAGTGAAAGTTGACATTGTGTTTCCGAATGACATCACCAAGAGGTAGAATATATAGTGAAAACAATAGTGGTCCTAAAACGGAACCTTGAGGAACACCAAAACTTACCATTGATTTGTCAGAGGACAAACCATCCACAGAGACGCACTGATATCTTTCAGACAGATAATATCTAAACCAGGCAAGAACTTGTCCGTGTAGACCAATTAGGGTTTACAATCTCTCCAGAAGAATGTGGTGATCGATGATGTCAAAAGCAGCACTAAGGTCTAGGAGCACGAGGACAGATGCAGAGCCTTGGTCTGACGCCATTAAAAGGTCATTTACCACCTTCACGAGTGCGGTCTCAGTGCTAAGATGGGATCAAAAACTAGACTGAAGCGTTTCGTATACATTTTTTGTCTTCAGGAAGGCAGTGAGTTGCTGCACAACATATTTTTCTATAATTTTTGAGAGGAATGGGAGATTCGATATAGGCCGATCGTTTTTTTTACATTTTCTGGGTCAAGGTTTGGCTTTTTCAAGAGAGGCTTTATTACTGCCACTTTTAGTGAGTTTGGTTCACATCCAGTGGATAGGGAGCCATTTATTATGTTCAACATAGGAGGGCCTTCAGAAAGTATTCATACCCCTTGACTTTTTCCACATTTTGTTGTTACAGCCTAATTTCAAAATGGATCAAATATAATTTTTTTCACACATCTACACACAATAACCCATAATGACAAAGTGAAAACATGTTTTTAGACATTTTTGCAAATGTGTTGAAAATGAAACACAGAAACACAGTGTCTAATTTCCATAAGTATTCACACCCCTGAGTCAACACATGTTAGAATCAACGTAGTCAGCGATTACAGCTGGGAGTCTTTCTGGGTAAGTCTCTGAGCTTTGCACACCTGGATTGTACAATATTTGCACATTATTCTTTGTTAGTTGTTGATCATTGCTCGACAGCCATTTTCAAGTCTTGCCATAGATTTTCAAGCTGATTTAAGTCAAATCCGTAACTAGGCCACTCAGGAAAAGTCTATGTCATCTTGGTAAGCAACTCCAATGTATATTTGGCCTTGTGTTTTAGGTTATTGTCCTGCTTAAAGGTGAATGTGTCTCCCAGTGCCTGTTGGAAAGCAGACTGAACCAGGTTTCCCTCCAGGATGTTGCCTGTGCTTGGCTCTATTCCATTTTATTTTTATCCTAAAAACGTCCTTGCCGATGACAAGAATAACCATAACATGATGCAGCCACCACTATGCTTGAAAATAGTGTTACTCAGTGATGTGTTGGATTTGCCCCAAACATAACGCTTTCTATTCAGGGCATTAAGTTAATTTCTTTACCACATTATTTGCAGTTTTATTTTGGTGCCTTTTTCCAAACAGGATGCGTGTTTTGGAATATTTGTATTCTGTACAGGCTTCCTTGTTTTCACTCTGTCATTTAGGTTAGTATTGTGGAGTAACTACAATGTTGTTGATCCATCCTCAGTTTCCTCCTATCACAGCCTTTAAACTGTAACTGTTTTAAAGTCACCATTGGCCTCATGGTGAAATCCCTGAGTGGTTTCCTTCCTCTCTGGCAACTGAGTTAGGAAGGATGCCTGTATCTTTGTAGTGACTGGGTGTATTGATACACCATCCAAAGTGTAATTAATAACTTCACCATGCTCAAAGGGATATTCAATGTCTGCTTTTTTTTTTTTACCCATCTACCAATAGGTGCCCTTCTTTGCGAGGCATTGGAAAACCTCCCTGGTCTTTGTGGTTGAATCTGTGTTTGAAATTCACTGCTCAACTGAGGGACCTTACAGATAATTGTGTGTGTGGGGTACAGAGATGAGGTAGTCATTCAAAAACACTATTAGTGCACACAGACTCCATGCAACCTATTATGTGACTTGTTAAGCAAATTTTTACTCCTGAACTTATTTAGGCTTGCCATAACAAAGGGATTGAATATCTATTGATTCAAGACATTTTAGCTTTTAATTTCTAAATAATTTGTACACATTTCTAAAAAAATAATTCCACTTTGGCATTATGGGGTATTGTGTGTAGGCCAGTGAGACGAAATCTAAATGTAATTAATTTGAAATTCATGCTGTAACACAACTAAATATTGAAATAATCAAGGGGTGTGAATACTTTCTGGAGGCACTGTATCTGCACCTCATTGGCTCTTGTTGTTTTAGACATACATGATACTGTAACTGGACAGAGACAGATATACTGGACATTATATAGACATACATGATACTGTAACTGGACAGAGACAGATATACTGGACATTATATAGACATATATGATACTGGACAGAGACAGATATACTGGACATGATATAGACAGACATGATACTGGACATTATATAGACAGACATGATACTGTAACTGGACATTATATAGACATACATGATACTGTAACTGGACATTATATAGACAGACATGATACTGTAACTGGACATTATATAGACATACATGATACTGTAACTGGACAGAGACAGATATACTGGACATTATATAGACAGACATGATCCTGTAACTGGACAGAGACAGATATACTGGACATTATATAGACAGACATGATACTGGACAGAGACAGATATACTGGACATGATATAGACAGACATGATACTGGACAGAGACAGATATACTGGACATTATATAGACAGACATGATACTGATACTGGACAGGGACAGATATACTGGACATTATATAGACAGACACGATACTGGACAGAGACAGATATACTGGACATTATATAGACATACATGATACTGGACAGGGACAGATATACTGGACATTATATAGACAGACATGATACTGGACAGGGACAGATATACTGGACATTATATAGACAGACATGATACTGGACAGGGACAGATATACTGGACATTATATAGACAGCCAATGATACTGGACAGAAGACACGATATACTGGACATTATAGTAGACATACATGATACTGTAACTGGACATTAATAGACAGACATGATCCGGTAACTATGGACCATATATAGACATACATGATGATACTGGTAACTTGGACATTATATAGACAGACATGATACTGTAACTGGTACATTATATAGACCAGATCATGATACTGTAAACTGGGCAGTAAGATAGACATACATGATACTGTAACGGGACAGAGACAGATATACTGGGGAACCATTATATAGACAGACATGGATCCTGTAACTGGACAGAGACAGATATACCTGGGACATTATATAGACAGACATTGATACTGGACAGAGACAGATATACTGTACGACATGATATAGAACCAGGACATGATACTGGACAGAGAGACAAGATAACTGGACATTATATAGGACCAGACATGATCACTTGTCAACTGGACAGAGACAGAATATCTGGACATGATATAGACAGACATGATACCTGGACAGAGACAGATATACTGGACATTATATAGACAGACATGATACTGGACAGGGACAGATATACTGGACATTATATAGACAGACATGATACTGGACAGGGACAGATATACTGGACATGATATAGACAGACATGATACTGGACAGGGACAGATATACTGGACATTATATAGACAGACATGATACTGGACAGAGACAGATATACTGGACATTATATAGACAGACATGATACTGGACAGAGACAGATATACTGGACATTATATAGACAGACATGATACTGGACAGAGACAGATATACTGGACATTATATAGACAGACATGATACTGGACAGGGACAGATATACTGGACATTATATAGACAGACATGATACTGGACAGAGACAGATATACTGGACATTATATAGACATACATGATACTGTAACTGGACATTATATAGACATACATGATCCTGTAACTGGACAGAGACAGATATACTGGACATTATATAGACAGACATGATACTGGACAGGGACAGATATACTGGACATTATATAGACAGACATGATACTGGACAGAGACAGATATACTGGACATTATATAGACAGACATGATACTGGGACAGGGACAGATATACTGGACATGATATAGACAGACATGATACTGGACAGAGACAGATATACTGGACATGATATAGACAGACATGATACTGGACAGAGACAGATATACTGGACATTACATTTACATTTACATTTTAGTCATTTAGCAGACGCTCTTAACCAGAGCGACTTACAGGAGCAATTAGGGTTGAGTGCCTTGCTCAAGGGCACATTAACATCATTTAGCAGACGCTCTTAGCCAGAGCGACTCACAAATTGGTGCGTTCACCCTATAGCCAGTGGGATAACCACTTTACAATTTGGGGGGGGGGGGGGGGGGTTAGAAGGAATACTTTATCCTATCCCAGGTATTCCTTAAAGAGGTGGGGTTTCAAATGTCTCCGGAAGGTGGTGAGTGACTCCGCTGTCCTGGCGTCGTGAGGGAGGTTGTTCCACCATTGGGGTGCCAGAGCAGCGAACAGTTTTGACTGGGCTGAGCGGGAGCTATGCTTCCGCAGAGGAAGGGGAGCCAGCAGGCCAGAGGTGGATGAACGCAATGTCCTCGTTTGGGTGTAGGGACTGATCAGAGCCTGAAGGTACAGAGGTGCCGTTCCCCTCACTGCTCCATAGGCAAGCACCATGGTCTTGTAGCGGATGCGAGCT